TGTTTTTCAATGGACCAAGCTTAGGGTCCAAGGCAATTAACAGCATCATGGAGACAGTAAGGGAACTTCAATGTAATGCACTCTGGGACAGTTTAGGCTCAGGTTCGTGCCCACAAAGAAAGTTTGATTCACTGGCCTGGTTTAGAAAGCAGAGAGAAGGGAAGCAGATGAAGGCAGAGTGAAAGAGAGAGAGAGAGCGAGATGAAATGGAAAACCACTGAGAAAGCGCCAGAACACCTCTCTGTCTCAATCCATTTCTCTTCAACACACCCACACGATCTGATCTGATACTTGATCCAAGCTTCGTGGATGTGTGAAGGGCCAAACAAGAACAGATACACACAAAATGCTGCCACTGCACTGTATGTCTTCAACATACAGGCTCACCCGCAGCTCTACGCAGACGTACCTCGATGAGTCCCTTTTCTTTCTGTTGCTCAGTAGAATGGAGAGTATGCTAACGCATTGCTCTCCAGCCACTACAAGGGAAAAGAAGGAAAAAGGCAGTCAATTGCTGGCAATGCAAGTCATGAGGTAGAAACACAGCCACAATGCACTGAGAGGGTGGGGCAAGGACAGGTAGTGGCCAGTTCACTGACTTGTTGCCAAGTGCTTCAACAAAGTACAAACCTAGCCAACCATTTCTAATATATTTTTTTTCCTCCTCCTGCTGGTTTTACTCGTTGCATGCAGGTGAAAGGACCACTGACAATTCATTGTCTTGCTTCAAAACCTGGAGAACACTCACCCACACACAGTCTGCCTTCATTCCTTCATGTTTACAATGACAGCTCCCACAAATACTATTTGTCTTGAAACTGATGAAAGCCAAATTAGGAAAGCCTAACCCTAGCCTCCAAACATCAGATGTGATTCACTGTGAATTTCACAATAAGAGGAAGGACAAAATCCCCACGGCATTTACGACTTCTTATCAGGCTTCAGATAAACCAAGCCAAGCCGTTTTCTTTTTCTTTTCTTTATTTTTTGGGGTCACGGATGGTTGTGCATAAGGCGAGGCCATATATGTATGTGTGTTTGCATGGTAGCCACAGTGACGGCGCTGATCAGAGGGCCTGTCTGTCCGTAGGTGTCTGGTTCCTTTGCCTGGCTGGCTCAACCCAACCCTGTCAGTTTTCTTTTTCGGGTTGTTTGTTGCTTGTGTGCCACTAGACCTGTTGTGTAATGCTTATAAAAGATTTAAAGGGACAGGAGGCCTACAGAGAGCGGTCAACGACAGATTCACACTGGAACTCTGAAGCACCCCAGGGAAACCCAAAGGGATATAAATCAGTCCTTATTTACAGAGACATAGGAATATCGTACCTACAGTGAATTGCTGACAGTAAAGAGCAGTGAAACATGCATGATGAGCAATATGATAGCTTAAAGTTGTAGTTCTTAACTTATTTACAAAGTATTACCAAATGAAATATATATCTTTCTGTGAAGAAATGATAAATCATCTGCAGGCAACATAAACTGTATACTTCTGTCTCTGACTGACTGTGTGTCTCATTATCCCATGTATTGATGTGTAGCCTCCACCTACACAGTCTGACAGACTGTAGCGCTAACTCATTCATAAGGAATGACCCCCCCACAGTGGTGAGGTGACTGGGAGAGCCCCAGCTTCAGCGCTGATGCTAAAAATCATCCTCTTCTTTACAATTATCTTTCCAAAGGAAAAATAAAACGTCAGGGATAGTATAAAGTATGTTTTACTGTCAGCACATTTAGAATAGAGAGCGAGAGACGGATACGCTGACTGGAAGCAGGAGCTGCAATGCAGACCACAGGCTGCCACACATGCTCTTGCATCATCTCAGAAAGGTAGTATCTTTTAGATGCTGGACTAGAAGCCATAAGAACATAGAAAACCTCTTGTCTAGGGATTTCTGTAAATCCAGAGGTTTCCACCTTCAACATAAACACACAGGTATCAGAGTGTCAGGCTGTGCAGAAGATGCTGAGCAGCCCTTTTTTGCTGACAGCTGAGAGTGAATGGGAAGACTGGGGTACACATTTTGTTTTATGAGCCCTATAGTTACCTATATTTTCTAGAAAGTGATGGATTTGTCACTCTAAATTCATAGGAAGCTTCCTGGAGATGACTGCTATGAATAACTGGAAAAGAATGACACAGAATCCTATTGGTCTGCCTTTAGCTCATTACTTCTGATTCAATGCTAGTGCAGACTGTGAATGTGAATTTTTATCTAGAGGCAAGGATATGGAGAACAAATAATCCAAAAAACACACAGGTACTTTCTTTGGCTTAAATAGTTGTCTGTAAGTTATTAAGATTTTACTAGCTCTTTAATAAAAATTCCTCTTGAAACCAACATTTTCTTATAGAATTTGTACACGTTCAAGTTCTATTACGCACAGTTTTTGGTACCTGTAAAACACTGTGTAACCAAGCCCTGAGATTAGCCCACTGCATCATAAGAGGCAGGGATGGTCAGAAATGTCATCATCAGACATCAGACTGCAGAACTACAGACAGCATTTTTCCCTATAAAAACATTCCTGAAAACTATCAGATTCATCACTTACCAGCTTTCTACACCCACATAGAATACACATGACCATTTTAACAAAAAATCCACACTTGCATTTTCAACAATAAACAAGTGACCCCATATATAGACATGCTTTTCATGTATCCACAGAACAGTGTTTCTGCAACTGAGAAAACCTTTGTATAAGAACAGTGCTTCCCAACCAATCAGTTGTTCAACTCCAGCTACTTGCTTGTTTTAAGCCAATAAAGTACTGCTGTGCAGCTTGTGGAGCCAGAGGAGCTCCTCCCATCCAATGAGAACCCAGCTTTGGCACAATGGCCTGTGATGCATCAGCCTTCGGAAGTCCAGTGCATGTGAACTGGAGAGAAGCCAAAGCAGAGTCACCAAGAGAACAAGGTAAACAACTTCTCTCATTCGCCATGTCTCTTTCTTCTATCTCAGTTTTTCTCTCCTCTTTCTCCCTCTCTCTGATCCTGAGCCATGACATTCTAGCCCCTTCGGTTTTTTGCTTTCTCCAGGAGAGAGACCGATAGACGGACAGATAAACAGAGAGAGAACGAAAGATACAAGCTGTGTACTGCCTAAAGAGAAGTCCAGCCCAGAAATGACTGCGTCACCATCTTTGTCTCTCCTAACTACGCAGGAACAAATGTGTCTTGGGAAGGGTTTTGCCAAATCCCTGTGGCCCTGGAGGGTGAAAACAAATCACATGACAAAAGTGCCACAAGCCACAGACTGTCATCTGATAGCAACACACAGCTGGATCTCCAATAGCTTCTGTTTTCATACATGTCTCCCTCTCCCTGTGGATGCTCACTATTTCCTTTAACTTCATCGACAGTTAACAACAAGAAGTAGACCAGCGGGCAACAGCTTGAACGCATATATATTAATAATTATATATACACATATGTGACGGTATAGAACATGTTCTGACTGAATCCAACAACAAAACTTATTGTTTAATTTCATTTGACATACAGTACTGTCAGCTGGGATGCATCGGTACACGCTGGCATATAATGGTGTATGTAACATATAATACTGTTTCATAATAGGTCAGATGACACCATGCAGGATTGTATTCACCTATTTGGACCAATATAATCATCCGTACTCCTGGAGGTGATGGTGGCAACAAAAAAAGGCGATGTTCGAACACCTCGATAATTCTCGGCAAAACATTCCTTACTGAGCTTCGGTGTGATATTAACAACCCTCCAGAATATTCTTTTCTTAACCCCTTTGACGCACCTCTGTCCACCCAACGCACACCTTGCCATGCTATCAAAACAAGACCTAGTGGAACTGTGTCACATCTTCAGCATCCATGTTGAAACTCCGTTACTAGCTCACAGGAACTACACAGCACACACACACACACACGCGTAACAACGACAGGCAGAACACATCAAAACTACCAAGGAGGAAGAGGAAGAGGAGGAGAAAGCCGAGGTTGTCCAAAAACACTGTATCCACTTCAGGTGGAAAACGACTGACGATGACTCTGGGCTTCTGTTATCTCAGCTTCTGTTTCCCCTGACATGAAAAAGTGACGTAGCAACTAATCCAAAATCTCTCTCTCTCTCTCTCTCTCTCTCTCTCTCTCTGACTTGCTCTCCCTCCCTCTCTGTATCTCCCTTTCTCTTCCTTTCTGCCTCTCAAACACACGCATTTTTGATTTTCATCTTGTTCCAAGAGCAGAACTGCTATTAGGTTGCTACTTCGAACTAACACATAGAAGCAGAACAGACCCCACACAAATGCATACGTACGTGCGCGTTCGCGCACACACGCACAGCTGTGCACACGCACGCACAATCACGCTATTCTGTCTTCCTGAGTGTGACGCAGCACTTAATTCTCTGTGCTTTTATACCAATGTTGTGGCTACATAACGCAGCTTCTTGATCAAGCTGAGACACAAACACACTTGCTAGCTGCCACAGAAGGCAAGTGAGCATGAGCAGACTGCAGTTAAAGGGACCCTACCACCATGGCTCCCTGTCCCCCACTCTGTGACGTTGCCATTCCCCCTATGTCCCTTATAATTGGGTCTCTCCCTCTCCGTTGCCCTCCTCTCTGGCGCTCTCCTCTCTGCTCTCGGCTAGAGACACACTCCGGCTCCTCTGCCTGTGAGGCTGAGCTGACTGAGCCTCCTCGATCACCTGACAACCCACTGGTTTTAAAGGCACATCACCAGCGTGCGTATCAGTTGCATAAGCACTCAGATTGTCTTTTGGCATTTTAATACTGTCTAAAAGGAAATTTTAATTTCTCTCTGAATTTAAACTGGATGTAATATTTACATGGTACTTGATTTACGTTGTTGTGTGATTGTGTTGCTGTTAATACAGCAAACTGTGATGAAAAATGCACGCTGTTCCACATTTAGTGTTTCTACAGTTTGCCTTAAACGCAGAGCAAGACCAAAAAAAAAAAAAGTGAGATGACTGACCATCGCAGCTCCACTCTGACACTTCAACTCTGTGAATAGACCTACCACTTGCACTTCGTCTTTCAGGGCTGCCTACCACAGCTCTGCCCTAAAGGAAACACAAAACAATGTTTTATTCAATGTTTTTATTCAGAACAATACTGTCATCTAGGTAAGTAAAGAAAGACAATTTTTAAAAAGATTAATAAAAATACTATAAACTAATACACAAACAGTATAGTATTAATGCTACGCTGTTGTTTTGGAAGTAAACCAGGAATGTAGCTGTATCTTTAAAAGGACTGTGTTTCTGTTTTATAAATAGTCTGTTTTAGTTCAGTCAAACATTAGCAGGGTTTATTTTAAGAATTCGGGTTACAGTTTATCCGATTGTTCACATACCTTGATCAGATGATTCTTCATTTCTAATGTTAATGAGACGGCGGCACTGCGGGAAGATGAAAGGACAAAATACAAAACAATAATTAAAATTATCAAATTAATTCAACTTATAAAGTGGATATGATTCAAGAGAAAGTGTGACTACTGTATTTGACAAGTCGCTCCAGCTGAACTTTATAGCATTCCTGCCTCGTGAATGCTAAAGCAGCCATTCTTCTCCACTTCTGACAAATGGTACAGATTCAAACACCACAGAACGTGACAAGACAAATAAACAACTATTACGTACAATATTCTCATGAAGATACTTAGAAACTAAGTATTTCTCAATATCAACATCCATGATTAGTCCAGGGAAAAAAAGATAAAAAATCAGTGCAAACAATAGAACAAACCATTTCCAGCAGACTAACAAGGGAAACAAGCTTGGTTCTGTCTCTTTTATGAGCTTGTCTATCTCAACAAGGCTGTGCCTATTAGGTCTGTCTACATTTCTGAAGCATAAAGTCTCCTTTATATGCTAAGCTCAAACGAAAGCTTTGTCTCAGTTAACAATAGGGAAACAAAGTTTTTGTTTGTGTCATTTCACCACCACACCTATTTATCACAGGGATATAAGGTAATAAGTACATTCAACAAGTGCCTTCAGAAATAATTTCTAAAAATTTAAAACTTGGAAGACGGTGCAGTGTTTAAAGCTAACATCATAACTACCCAAACTCAAGTGTTGAGCTGCAGTCAATTACGTTCTGAGCATATTTTGCATTCTGCAGTGTTATGCTATTGGTCGCCTGCACTTTATATTTTTATTGATATTTTAAAAGCTTGGCTGAGCTATCAAAGCACCAACTATTAACTGTATTTTGATGTCTTGACATTCCCATTATCTTTCAATCACAAGTCTTGGTTGTCAACCTGCATTTTGTGCGGCGGTTAAATTTCCTTCCCTAAAGCACTTGTAGCTTGTGATGTCCTAATTCCCCGCTGAAGCCCAAGAACATGAAGCTTACAGCTTCACCTTACAGGACTGTGAAAGGAGAGCATTGCTAAAAGAATCAGTTTTCACCCTCGAGCTATATGGGAAATGTAAGGGATCTGAGGGATCAAAGCATGTTTGCTCTGTGCAGACTGGTAGATGTGGAGGGTATTGATCTGAGGATTGAGGTCTATCTGCTCCTCTAGAATAAAGATGTCCTCAGTCTATATGTGCATCTTGTGCAAGACAGCTACAATAACACGAAGGAATATGAATGCAAGCGGAGCTTTTGAGGGAGTTTAATGCTACATTTCTGTTTTTTTTTTTGCTAAGACGATCAGACAACATTCAAAGAAGAAGCATCCCTTTGTATATCCTTTCAAATACCTGATGCATTTAATGTATCAGGTTTGGTTCTAATACCTTGTTAATTTTGAATGCATGTCCTGGTTAGCAAAATAAAGGGAAGAATGGTTCAAAAATGTAATATTTCAGGTGACTATAGATCTAAACAGAATCTTTAAGCTGCAGTTTTTCGTTGCCTTAGTTACATGCTAATGATGAAAATGAAACGTAATAAAAAAGTTTAATAAGGACTTTCTGGACTAATCAATAATATCAGTTTTTTTTTTATTGAATGCTTTGACATTTCTCTATTTCTATTATACCCATATCCAATCGATACAGATATTCCAGTATTGTTGACAACTTGGTTCCAACATATAGCAAGCTTAAGCAAGCATAGGAAGTTCTACTGTGACAGTGGCTTGTATTTTTGCTGACAGAGACACGCTACAGCTTTAAAGATACATTCAAATGTCTGCTATTTATGCTCCTCATCCAGTGGCCAGTGTGTTAATTTTAGCCATGTCATCTATCAGCCATGCCTGTTCCACTTCCTAAACCTTAATCTCTCTCTTGGAAAGGTGCCCAGTCAGCTCCATTGATATTGTTTTTGGCAGTAATGGGAACAATGGGCAAAGATCGTAAATCCAGCCACATACATATTTTGATCTTGTGCAAAAAAATGTCTTAATTTTGCATTGTTTTCTGTTATTATCTGGTTTGCAGTCACCACTCAGAAGCATGTCTATGTCAAACACTGGCCACACACTGCTCTTAAATACTTAAAATGCGTACTTGGTTATTCATCTTTTTGATTGTAATTGATACAAACAGGGTGCTGCTGCACTGTTGTGGCATTTACTCTGCACCAGATGTTGCAGACTGTGTTGCTGTGAAATGTGCTGGTTCTTACCTTTCATGGAAAGTTGAAAGCAAGGCCTATTTTCTCTCTGTGAAAAGAGGAATAGCAATATCAACTCAGACGGCAATCGGTTTTAATTTCTAAGGTTAACGCCGAATGTTTTCCCTTACTGTGCCTCTTAAGTAGTTAGCAAATCAACTGGTCAAAGGACTGCAGTTATTTTGAGGTTTCTGACGTCGAGAGATGTTCTGGCATTTCATTTCCGAAGCACAACAGATGGATGTACCAGTTGTTCTGTCAACAGAATTATTAGGTACAAGATGAACAAAAATATACAGTCAATGGCTTTTCATTTAGATGTGTAAGCTGCTGTTCCACTCTCACTTTGTAGTGCTGCATCAATACTTCCCATTAAGGTCTCTCACTCATTCCCAGAACACTGTTTTGGATAACTTTCTTGCTTTGGTACAAACTGTTCTCTAAGCTTGCACAAATGCGCCATCCTGTGTTAAATTGGGGTATTGCTTTCTAAGGGTTTGTTTACATCAGGAATAAAAAGTGCGTATGACATAGAAACCTCTGGATGGATGGAGCTGAGTCAAGGCGCTGGCACAACAGGCACACGCACTATAGATTTAAAAACAGGGGAAAAAAAGAGCCTTTACGCACAATGCGCATTGAAAAATCAACTAAGTGACAGATCTATTTCTGTAAAAGAACAATCGAAGAAACAATCTTACATAATTTCAACTTCATACACATTAAATGGCTAATTTTTCTTTTCATTACACATTTCACGGTTGAAAAACAATCTGTTCAGATGGAAACAGCACTATAAACACAGCATGACGCACTCTGACAGGTGCAATAGTGGCAAAATTAAAAGTCAGCAGAATATCTGAAAAATCCCCTGAAAGAGTACTTTTTCCTATATGAATTAAATTTCTTGATAGTATACTAGTTTTTAAGTATTTTTTTATACAGTATTAATATATTTACCTTCTTCTTCTCCTTTACTTAAGTTTAAACTTACTAAATCCTTCTGCTCATACATTGGACTTTACAGGCTAAATGAAACAGATTAAAGCCTGCTCAGCTGAAAACAAACTAAACATTCATTTTGACATGGTCAATAACAACATCTACCTCATAAATCAAACCATTACGCAGTACCGCATGGATACACAGACCACTCACTCCTGAGGTAAATTGAAGTGCGCAACATCCTCCTGCAGCAAACATCCAGCACACCTCTCCATCCCATCCAACTCTTCTGCCCTCTCGCTGTCTCCGAGGAAAATGAGCCTCAAATCCGCACAGGCATGTTTTATAAGGCAGGGGGAAAAAATGCTTTGCTTATTTCCGGGTAACGTTGGGAAAGAGCGCTGGAAACTGCGCACTACATCATGATAATCAAATCACGGTCATGCGTAATTTTAGTGGCCTCTCATATGGAAAGACATTTTGTACATTTAACAAGTGAAGCACGACAACATTATGTAAACATCAAACAGAAGGAAAACTAAAGAGGCACATTAGTAAACATTACTTAAATGGCCCACTGCCCACTACAGACGCACAAAATCACATATATCCATACAGATTATTATACATATTCACCGGAGCAGCCACTGGATGTAAATAAACTGCTTGTCTCGGAGGAAGAGGTCGCTCACCGGCAGCGGCTCTTTCGCAACACCACCACCGCTCCCTGCCCCGTCACCGCGTCCACAACCTCCCGTCAACCTCCTTTGCTTGTTACTGAATCCAGAGTGGTCCCCTGCTCTAATGAAAACCCCTGTCCATCGACATTTTCACAGCAACACAGCGACCGCCACGCCCACCCGCACACACCCCCGTTTGCTGATTGGACGACGCTCCGAAATGCGTCGACACGGTCACGTGCTTTTGACGCATGTTTACAAACAGGCGCAGAGCGGGTTGAGCGCGCGGACCCAGCAAGCGGAGTCACCGCCGGGAACTTCCGGTTTCGCTCGAATCCCGTTGCTGTGGCCTCCTAATGTCGTATATAACAGGAAAACATTTTAAGCTGGTAAGAATATACGATTAATATGCAATTTCACGGCTCCATAAGGCTGTTTCTCAGTAAATATGTCTAATATCGCAGTCTTCAATGGAAAATTGAGCGACAACTATCATGATGCAGGACTTTACAACCGTCAAGTCATTTTAATGTCAAAGGCACGTTTTTCTTAAATTTTATACACTCAATCAAATCCCAATAGTATGATCTAGTATTTCATTATAGCGCTATAAATGCCACAAAAAATGAATGAAATATACATAAACTCTTTTAATATTAATAATACATAAAAGGTCACCAGGTATGCTTACAAATAGGGTAGCCTATGTCCCCTGTGCCTAAGACTGAATCATGAAGAAAGTAGAAAAACATGTATCTATATACACAAGGTGTCTCAAAAAAGCTTCAAGACTGCTGACACAAAAGATATATTTCAAACCCAAACTACAAGTTTTCCCCTTCGAAGTAATCCCCCTGGAGTCTAACCACTTTCCCAGCCTTCTCTGCCACACCACCATGCACTCCTGGACGGATTCTTCCGGGATCCTTCGCAGCTCCGTCATCACAGCCATCTTGATGTCGTCCAGGTCTTCAAAACGGGTCCCCTGGTGACCCCTTAAGCTTGGGGGAGAGGAAAAAAAATCACACGGAGCCAGGTGGAGTGAGTAGGGAGGTTGCTCCAGCACGGCGATGTTCTCCTCAGCCAGGAACTGTGGGATGCTCAGGTCATTGTGAGCAGGCGTGTTGTCATGATGAAGCAGCCACGACTTGTCCTGCCACAACTCTCACCTCTTCTCGCACACCGAACAAAGCAAACGCCGCAGGATCTCTTTGTAGACGTGCTGGTTGATCGTCTGCAGGGAAAAACTCAATGTTTGTAGTTTGGGTTGGAAATATATCTTTTGTGGCACCAGTCCTAGAACCTTTCTAACACACCTCATACAGCAGAAATTATACCCATTTTATTTGTACATTTGCAGTTATTGTAGGAACCAAAATTTAAGCCATTTAAGACCAGAAAACTTCAGACTTCCAGTCTACTCTTTAAAGTGTGACATTATATTACACAATATTTATTACTAAACAAGCAATAATCAAAGTTAAGAGCTTGGGGTAAACATCCTTATTCATTATTAACTAAGAGTAGTTAGACCTGAAAGTCTGCTCATCTGCTTCATTGTGACAGTATGAGTGTCCTGAGGCCTTTACTGTGAGGCAGGATTTGGGGTTAGAGACGTAATTCAAGGTTTAACTCTGGTGGTCGGGACTGCAATACACAATGGGACAGTGATACTAACAAGCCTATTAATTACACGTTCACAAAGTCTGCAGTCTCATCATGTTGGATTAGGCTTATAGTTTGTTCTTCTTTTGAGATATATGTTTCATTAGATTAGATTAGAATAGATAGAACTTAATTGATCCCTTTGGTAGGGTACCTCAGGGAAATTGTTGTACTAGCAACAACACAACACCAACACAACATTAGTAATAATAATAATAACAATAATAACAACAATAATCATGGATACAGCAACAGTGCCAAAGTGCCAAAATATTGCACACAGTCCGGTGATAGAGCATGATGCTCTATCTCACCCCAATGTCCTCACTCCTCACCCCTCGCTCCCCACCTTTCCCCGCTTGCTGCTCCTCCCCCTCCCCCCAAGCTCAGAGTTGAACAGTTTGATGGCTCGAGGGACAAAGGAGTTTTTGGTCTTGTTAGTTTTGCACCTGGTGAGGAGCAGCCTGTCGCTGAACTGGCTCCTCTGGGCGATGATGACAGTATGAGAGGGTGGCTGGCATCGTTCATGATGGCCAGCAGTTTGTTCAGTGTCCTCCTCTCTGCCACCGTCACCAGGGAGTCCAGTTTCATGCCCACTGCAGAGCTGGCCTGCCTGATTAATTTGTCCAGCCTCGATGCGTCCCTTTTTGATGTGCTGCTGCCCTAGCACACCACGGCGTAGAAAAGGACGCTGGCGACCACCGACTAGTAGAACATCCGCAGGAGTTTCCTGCAGATGTTGAACGACCGGAGTCTCCTCAGGAAGTACAGCCTGCTCTGTCCCCTCTTGTACAGGTAGTCTGTGTTGCATGTCCAGTCCAACTTGTTGTCCAGCCACAGCCCAAGGTACTTGTAGTTTTGTACAAGTTCAACCTCATGTGCCTCAATCAGAACTGGTCGTGGGCATGGTCCAGATTTCCTGAAGTCTATGACCAGTTCCTTTGTCTTTGAGGCGTTGAGCTGCTGGTGGTTTTCTCTGCACCAGACAACAAAGTCGTCCACCAGACTCCTGTACTCACTCTCTCTGTCATCCTTGATACACCCCATGATGGCTGTGTCATCTGCGTACTTCTGTATGTGGCACAGGTCCGAGTTGTAACAGAAGTCAAAGGTGTACAGGGTAAAGAGGACTACAGACGTGCTCACGTTTGTAATTGGCCAACACCACCACTACTACTTTAATGTCACAGCTAGAATCAGAAACCCTGGGTTGACCGACTGAGTTGATAACCAGCTTCGTGAGACCACTTGCTGTGACTGTGGTTGTTAGATTAAGTGAAACCAGATAATAATAAGACATCCTGGGTATGCTGAACTTGCTTTAAAGCAATGTGATGTCACATTTGACTGGACACTGCTGGCAACATAAATAGCCAATCCCTCGACTGTCATCCCATTTTGGGTCAAAGTTTGCTAATTGTGTTTGGTGCACAGAAACATAACATCCATTCTTCTTCGAGCCCACTTCCAAACAGCAATAAAAGCAAGGACCAAAAAACAAATAGCCTGCATTTGGGAGACTACTGTGTTTATATCAGAACCAGTTAATAGTAAGACACAAACTGAGAAAATGTTTTAAGTAAGTCATTTGAACTGCTGGGGTAGAAACAGCTAATAGTGGTCTATTCCACTTCCAAGACTTCTAAGAATATGCACTGAATATCTGTAAATCGAAATGTGTCACCACAATCTATTTTATGTTTCTTCTGGTGCATATAATAGCCTAATACAGTAACTTATTCAATTACAGGGCTGTGAAAAAGTATTCAACGCCATTCAGATTTCTTCTGTTTTTGTGTATACTAAATGGGGTCAGACCTTCAAACAAAATCACAAAGACAAGCTAAGGAAACACAAAAACAAGCTTTAAATGATAATTGTATGTAGAGAGACTAAAAGGTATTCATTATCAACAGGGACTGTATGAAGAAGTATTCACCTCATATTAAATCCAAAAGAACTGCAAAACTGCATTTGTAATTGGTTGCTGCTGAATTAGAAACACTGCCAGCCCTATTCAATCAAATCATCACCTAAATAAACCATTTGCAGAACTTCAAAGTCACTAAAAGATCTCTAAAGGAGCGCACTGCCGTAACGATAAGAATTTCCAGAGGAGATGAAGAAAAGGTTGTCAAACTCGACAGGGTTACAAAGCTCTGTCTAAGGTTTTTCAAGACTCCACAGATTCACAGTGATCGATATAATCTACAAACTGAGATGACTTGAAACAACAGGGAACCTTCCCAGTATTGGCAGATCTTAAAAAATTCCTAAAAGGACACAACAGTGACTAATCCAAGAAGATTCAAGGAAAACATCCAAGGAAGTGCAGGCCTCTCATGCCTAAATAAAGGTTCGTGTTCATGGCTCCACTGTGCAAAAGACACAGGGCAAAATTATCTTAATGGGAGAGTGATGAAGCGAAAACCACATTAACTTGATCTGAACATCTTGATGACCCTCAAACCTTTTGGGAGAATGCGCTCTAGATTAAAGTCCTGTTACAGCTGATGTAAACTTAAAGAATTTTCCAAAAAGAACAGTACGTGTACAGTCAAGCAATGAGGTGAGGGTGCATTGTTTTGGGATTTTTTCTTGGCCTCAGTGTCAGAGCAATCTGACATAATTTTTAGAAACAATTCTGCTCTTGGACAGAAAATTCTGAAGAACATCAGGTCATTAGTCTGTGAGCTGCAACTCAGGTGCAGCTGGGTTGCACAAGACAATGAACCCAACCGTAAGAGTGACTTCACCTCTAAATGCCTAAAAAGTAATGAGTTGAGTGGTTTAGTCAAAGCCTGGACTTTAACCCCACTAACATGCTGTGGCGTTTACAAACCCTCCAATGTGGCTGCACTAAAGCAGTTCTGTAAAAAAGAATGAGTCAAAATTCCACCACAGAGATATGATCTCTGGGTATCAAGATGTTAAACATGGTATATTTTGTTTGAGGACTTGATACAGTTCAGTTTGATATACACAAAACATAACAAATCAAGTGGGTTGATTGGCTTGGTATTGACTACTCGTGTCTTAATTTAGTTAGTTATTTATGCACAAACAGAGTTGCCATTAATATTTATGTATAGTGTGTATAGAGTTTATTTTCTCTAATTTTTATTTCTCAATAGTTTTGTACGCAGATAGCCAGGTGCTAATTTTGGTATATTATTCTATTTTTAAAGCTTAACTTGACCACGCCTCTGTGAACAAGTGACAACTAAGCTTGTAAAGACTGATAATCAAGTTGTAGCAGTGTTTTTCATACTCTGTGTTAAAAATACATTCTAATAGATACAAATAACCAGGGACCATCAGTGATGACTACCAGTAGCATCATCATCATCATCATCAATGCTATTGGGCCAGTTCAGATTATAGCTCACATGT